TACAGAGTGGTGCTCCAATCTTGCCAACAGCTATATATGGGTATATATATATATATATATATATATATATATATATATATATCATGTCACTCAGCTATGTAACGCTTCTTATGCAATTATGGTTTGTTTGTTTTTTGGCGTCTTTCATTCTGACCTAGTGAAAAACAACTGATCTTATACTGAAATGCCTTGCATGTGCTTTATTCTCACTGGTAATGTACAAACGTGTTCCGATGCTTTATTTAAACTTGGAACGAAAAATAACGTTAAATGTCACCCGAGATGGGAGAGACTGATAACTGGCAATGGAAATTGGGTCAAATCAGGCATCTTCCCCGAGAACCCGTTCGGAACTTACATAACTTGCCTTTTTGGATTCCTTCTGAATCATACCGGCGCCGTCTTTACTCCTACATTTTCTTCTTTCAGTGTTGTGAATTACTTGTGATCAACTTTTGATATATTTTTCTTTTTTCTAGCTTCTCGGTTAGGAGGTGGTGTAGTACGCGCTGGTCTGAACTCCAACCACCTGCTCAACTCGATGATAGGACAAGTTGACGGTATTCAAGCTATCGGCGGAGCGGTTCTGGAGTTCACTCCTGAGCTGTACATCACTGCGCGATATGTCAGCGTGGATATCATAGGAAGCAGCTATCAGACTATAGTCCAATTGACGGAAGTCATGGTGGAAGAAGTCACCACGGCCACAACGAAGCAGGCCACACGAAAAGGTATGGGCAGAGATAATAGCCGTAAGTGTTGCAAATAGAAAATAATAGGTTTATGCAATTTCAACGATCACAGGAGGACATGCTGAATAGTGCTCTGTTTATACATACCCCCTTCTAACCAGTGTTTTTCTGTCCTTAATGTTCAGAAGCGAACACGGGGGCAGCGCTGCTTAACTCTCAGTTTTGGGCAAAATTAAATTTGGTGTAACCTGCCAGTACGTGCATTGTGAACTGTGTATGAAGATGCTCGTCGACATTTTGGTCTGCGCTCACCCGGGGGGGATGCATAGGGTGTCCAGGGTGGCAATGCCCTCCATAGGCATCTCAACTAGAAAATATTGGCTAACGACACAAGTTATCTGTTTTGGTGGAAAAGGGAAACAGAACTAGTTAAGTACATTACTAGTTAGGTTTGTGGAAGCGTTATATTACCATTGGTAGGCCGAGCACTTTTCTTTATTTTAGTACGTATTCTGGTACAGGGATACCGCAGACAACCACGAAAATAGTTCCCGGAGCACTCTCATTCCTTCTGGAATGTGTAACTGTTATTTGCACTTTTTTCCATGCAACGACACTTGAAGCTTTGTTGCTAACTGGTCGCCCTAGCAGTCAGAGTTCAACCTTTACTGACAGCGGTGACATGAGGCTTGCTTCCAGAGCTGTGGATGGACACCTTCAGTATGTCAACCCACACTGTAGCCAAACAAGTAAAGTTGTTATTATTTACCTCACTTTAAATGTTAGAACGGAATTTTTTTCAGATATTCACATGCCATTTTAAACTTCTTTCCCATGCCTGAAAAAAACACTTTGAAAAGAATGTTAGACACATTTACCGTGAAGGGACCTACCCGTTGGTTAATTTAGTCAACATCTTTACCACTGTGGTTGGAAAACTTTGTCTTGGCCCATTGTGTAATCTGTTGGTCAGTTGATACACTTGTAAGCTAATAATTTTAGCCATTGTGTATTTGTTGTAACGATTTCATTCAGATGTTGATGTTAAATTGTAGAAAACACAGTTAAGAGATGCACAAACACCACAGTTTCTTACTGAGTCAGTTTCGTTTACCTTTGCCATTACTTTCATAAACAAAATATTTATTCGAAAAGTTATTATTCAGCCGAAAATGTGCAGTGCACGTTGACTTTGCGTTTGAACAGCTTTGTTGCTGATTCTTTGCTATATTTTTTTTCAGATGTACAGGAGAGTCCATGGTGGATGATAAATCTGATTGCTGTTCACTGCATTAGAAAAGTTGCAATCAGAAATATCGATGACCTTCACGGTAAGCTCCTAGGCAGTATTATATAAGTCAAGAAACTTGGTTTACACATGCCGATGAACACAGTTTTATTTTTATTTTATTTCTTTTGTTGATAGTTTAAAGCACAAACACTCCTGAAACATTATGCAAATCTACTTTCGGAACGAGAGAGCTCGTCTACGAATGAAAACGATAGGACCATCAATTCTCGAGGAAGCTTTTCACCAATACAACATACTCGTTTGTTTTGCCAATTAATGAAATGTTACATACAGATATTTTAGATGAATTATTTTTTTTAATGAAAACAATACAAAGTATTGTAAATTCCAGGGGTGGGGGTTTAAATTATACTTTTTGAGGTTAGGGGGTCGGCTATTCAATCCCCCCCACACTTGGTGAGCAAAAATGAAAATGGATTGTAAACACTTCTTCAGACGTCCGACTATCAAAATGCATTAAACATCACTCAAACAGAGAAAAGCAGTTTCAAGAAAGTTATAAATATATCATTTTCATTACATATTACAAATGTACATCAACATCATGAATATCGATCTCAATGTTGAGTCCCCCTCCCCTTACTTTTCAAGTTTTCATCTAACCCCAATCTTTCCCCATCCCCCGATTTCCGACACAAATTTACGCCACTGAAACAATAAATTGCAATTTAAATCATGTGGTCTGCTTACATTTCAGACAACATTAGACT